AAGGAAAATATGTCTTTTAGGAATAGAAGAGTCTTGAATATTCTTACAGGTTAAGGAGAATGATGTAGTTGAGGGAGAGTTTTAAGGTACATGAGATAGAAAGAAAAAGTGGGTAAGACCTCTAAGGGCTAGATGAGACAAAGATCAGGAACTCAAATAGAAGATTTAGTCTATGTTAGACTGGAGGAATAAAGGTATAATATGGGAGCAGATGCAGATTGTGGGTGAGAAAAATTCTTGTTACCTGCAATTTTTTTTTTAAGGAACACAGGTAATAAAGTCACCAGTTGGGTATTGGGTTTGCTGAGTGAAGGATGAGGTTTAGAATAGTAGCTGAGGAGAATTGGAGAAGGACTGATGAAGAAAAAGAATTGCCAAGTAGTTCTGAGATGAAAAACTAAATCTGTGGCAATATCAGTTTGCATTAAAAGGTCATAGTGATTTTCTTCAGAGGAGCTTGAATGGAAACAGTTAACAAAGGATGAAGATCTATAGCATATAGACACAAAGGGTTGAAGTATTGAAATTCTAGGAATTACTTCAATTCTGGAGACTCTGTTTTTTTCTTTTTTGAGACAGGGTCTGGCTCTGTTGCCCAGGCTTGAGTGCAGTGGTGTGATCGTAGTTCACTGCAACCTCTGTCTCCTGGGCTTAAGTCATCCTCCCACCTCAGCTTTGCAAGTAGCTGGGACTACAGGCACATGCCACAACACCAAGCCAATTTTTGTAGAGACAGAGTTTCGCCATGTTGCCTAGGCTGGAGCAGCCACTTACAGTGGCTTACAGGAGTGAGCCACTGTGCCCGGCTGACCCTTTATATTATATGTTAAGATGAAATTATCCAAAGAGCTTTCTCGGAAATGTTACTTAAAGTCTATTTCCAATCTTATACCCTCCCCCTCAAATACATCTGTCAGTTTATGATTTCATTTATGTAAATTATGTATTAACTTGTCTTCTTGCATCATTAGATTATACACTCTTTGGGGCTGGGGCACTGTCTAATATTTGTGCTAGACCCCTAAACAAGTAATAGACCACTAAACAAGTAATTTGCCTTTGACAAAGACTCTCTCCTTGAACAAATTTGAGTCCGGCTCTTCTGAGGTTTCTTCTCGACTAAGCCCTGACCACGGGGTTTGTCCTCAGTTTGCTTAGTTCAGTTTTAGCAAGAATCCTGCTGAGTCCGTTTAGTGGAAATCCCCTACCCTTTGTATCTGATCATTCTGGATATATGATTACATTCCTCATCCTGATACATCCACTCCTGATATTGTATTGCCCTGGTCTGCCTTTAGCAAGATTCCCATCATGCTGGTTTAGCAAGAATTCCCCTAGACTTAATGTTTCCTCTTAGTAGTTTTCCATTAACTGATGCCCTCATCCTGCTCCTTGGTTATAAATTCCCACTTAAAAATGTTACTCCCCCACCTTGTTGGAGTCAGAGTTGAGCCTCATCTCTCTCCCCTACGGTAAAACTCCATAACAATAATCCTTCTTGAATTAAGTCTTTCTTACCATCTTTAACAAATATCATGAAAAATTTTTCTTTAACACCATATTTGGCCATCAGATATAGACCTTTCCAAACTTTGGATTGCCATACAAGGCATTTCATAATCTCTGCTCAACCTACTTCTCTATATTCAACTCCATTATACCTTTACACTTCCCAGCTTATAAATACAGATAATATGTGTAAGTCAAACTTGTCTACTTTTGCTGAACACATCATGCATTTTCAAATTTTCTGGGCATTTGAATATACTTTTTTACTTGCATGGAATATTTTTATTCCCTTCTGGCAAATTCCCACTCATCTGTTGACACCTTCTATGACTTTATTTATTTAAGAAAGGTCTACTCTTGGTTTACGAGGTGCATCTACTGTGCCAGCACAGAGTTCTGTTTTTGAAGAACTCACTGATTTGTAATTGTAAAGGTAAATGAAGGTGAATAAGGAAAACAAAATAAAAAGAAAAGAAAGTGAATAAGGTGAAAGAGACTATTTTCTCCCCCTTAGATTCTTAGTGTATCTCTTTGGGGGACAGAGTGAACCTTTATCCTTTCTCTAACTTTCGGAATGTAGATAAATCTCTCCAGAGGTTACAGTCTCAGTCTCCAGTTTTATAATGTACACATATTTCCAAGGTCAAGGTATATTTCTCTTTGAAATGTAAAGACATGTCTTAAAAGTTGTTGTAGGAGCCCATCTCAAGGTGTAACCATTTGTCTTTCAGGAGGACTAGAGGTATCTTTGGGAAGGTAAGAAAAGTTTTACTATTCCATTGGAAGAATTCAATTAACTAAACAAAGAGCTATCTCAATTCTCAAGTGGACTTGTTATCTTTTTAATATATAAGTTGTGTAGAATTTTATTTTGAATTTGCAGTCTGTTGAAGCCTACTTATGTGCATGTACTCTGTTGTGCTTACTCAATAATAAATGAGACTTCTTTTATTACATATTGATATGGAGAAGTCTGTTTGTTGTAGGAGTTTTTACCTTTCCATCATAGTAAAGGTAGATGCACTGATGTGGGCAAAGGAGCTCAGATTTTTATCTTGAAACTCCAAGAAAGATAAAGAAGGAGTTTAAGTACAGCAGTGACACAGTTCTCTATCTAGAAAGAAACACAGAAGAATTAAAGATGACTAGCAGCATTTTATATATGTATCCCTCCATTCACTGTTAAAAAATATATGTGACAGAATGTCATTAGTTCAATAAGTAAACAGAGAATATAACTTTTATGTGGCAAAATACAGGTTTTAGAAGATATAAGCAAGTTTTGTCAAAAGTCTATCCCTGTGAGTTACTGATGGTCATTGGAAAAGGCTGAATACCAGGGAATTGTTTTCCTCTGAACCTGAACAGTATGCCTGTTCCATATGGAAGGAAAGGTATGAGCTGTGTCAGAACTCTATCCAAGCTTATTGCCACATTCACATTTGTAATATGTATTTCCTATGTTATGGTCTTCCACATTGGTTACAGCTTGTTTATGATCTCTACTCTGATATTTCCATTTAATTAGTTCCACAGTGATTCACTCTTTTTTGCCTTTCTAATTTTTCCCCTCTTTCTTCAGTATTTTTTGGCCGGTCCATATAAAATTTCATCTCAGTTTTACAGTTCATTTGAGCTCTCCTCTAATGTTTCTTTTCTTTTCTTTGAGATAGAGTCTCACTCTGTCACCCAGGATAGAGTGCAATGGTGTATCTGGGCTTGCTGCAACCTCCGCCTCCTAGGTTCAAGCGATTCTCCTGCCTCAGCCTCCTGAGTAGCTGTGAATAGAGGCATGTGCCAACGTGCCTGGCTAAGTTTTGTATTTTTAGTAGAGGAGAGGTTTTGCCATGTTGGCCAGGCTGATCTTGAACTCCTGGCCTCAGGTGATCCACCCACCTCATCCTCCCAAAGTGCTAGGATTACAGGTGTGAACCACCACACCTGGCCCTCCGCTAATGTTTCATTGGCACTTATTCTAAGGTTTCTTAGAGTTCTTACACATGGCACAGCTATTATTTTTACACTTTCTAAAATGTTTAAATCTTTTATTAAATAAGCATCCAGCAGAGTACATTTTGTAAATATGTTTATACATTGTATTAAGTTTAATAAAGAAACTCTAAGCCTAATTTCAAAAAGATCAAGTAAATAAGCCCCCTAGAAAATCACACAACTTTGTACATAGTCATTGCCTACATGTCATTCTCAGTTTCAATATTTTAAAATTAAAATGTGTAGTTTTGGAAGAATCACTGGATATTTACATAATCATTAACTGGAGGGTTTATGCAGATATCTTACCCAGGTAAACCTTTTGGAAATATGTCTAAGTACTTTATAGATCTAGATGTATCTCAGAAAAGGTTAAAAACTGGTTTGTGGCTGGGTGTCTAAGGGGGAGTGGAAGGAACTGGGGTTAGAAAAAAATAGAGGCAAGATCTTAGAGTACTTTGAATGTTAAGCTAGGGAATCTCTCTATTACAGATAATGCATCTATTGAAAAATAACTCCCAAGTTTTACTAAGTGCTTAATCTGAGTCACAGTTTAAGTTATATATGTTAAGTGCTTTACATTCACTCTTCCATTTAATCCTAATAGCTACTCTATAGGTACTATAATTATCACCATTTTACTGATAAGGAAATTGATTCAGACAGGTTAAGAATCTTAGCTCAGGCGGGCTTTGTGGCTCACGCCTGTAATCCCAGCACTTTGGGAGGCGGAGGCAGGCAGATCACTTGAGGTCAGGAGTTCCAGACCAGCCTGGCCAACATGGTGAAACCCTGTCTCTACTAAAAATACAAAAAATTAGCTGAGTGTGTGACTCGCGCCTGTAGTCCTAGCTACTCAGGAGGCTGAGGCAGGAGAATCTCTTGAACTCGGGAGGTGGAGGTTGCAGTGAGCGGAGATGGCACCACTGCACTTCAGCCTGGGCGACAGAATGAGACTCTGTCTCAAAAATCAGAGCTTCGTGGTGGAGCAGAAATTCATATTTGCCTGTAATTCCAAAGCCCATTCTATAAACCAGAGGAAAGTGAGATTAGAGTTTCATTTGATCACTGGTAGAGGCATGAGAACAAATTGCAGGAAGACAAGTCTAAAGTCAAGGAAACCAGAGAGGATGCTGTTGCAGTAGTCAAGACTGTTAGGCCCTATTAAGGGAGATGACCCTTAACCACCTGAGTTATGCAGACGAATGACATGGTCAGAGAAGTTATTTAGAAAATTAACCCTGGCAGCCCTTGTGAAGGTTGAATTGGATGAGGCAAGACAATTAGGTAGGCAAATAGAATAAAAGGCAAAAAAAAAAACCAAACAAAACAAATAAAAGACAACTAAAAGGCAGTGAGACAAATAAGTAGTGAAGTTGTTGGGACTGTCACTCTTAACTGCAGAAGTGCCTGTTGAGGAGCTGGGAGACGGTCGTATCCCAAGTCCTCGGGCCTTTCGAATTGCAGAGCATCCTGGACCTCTCCTCACCCAATCTTACCTTCACATCGCTCCTTCTAGGCCTTAGGAAGTGGGGTTTTGCGCACTTTCTAGGTCGCAGGCCTGCTGGTTTGAGCTCCGACAGTGGCGCCAGCGGTGGCAGCAGTCGCCGACAGGGGTGGGGCGCATGCGCACGGTTGCTAGGCAACGGCGGTCGGGCGCCGCGGCGGTAACCGAGCCGGGGCTGTGTGTGTAGGCAGCGGCGCCAGAGGAGGAGGAGCAGGAGGATGCAGCTGCGACCGCGGCCCCAAGAGGGAGCCGCCGCTGCTCTGTGGCCAGGGGGGCCGAGGGACGGGAATCAGGCCTGGGGGTCGCGTCGTTGAGGGGACTGGGGACAGCAGTCCCGCCAGAGACTAAGGCCTAGTACCCCAGGAGGGTCCGGGCCGCTGGGCAAGCGCTTGTCCTCCATCGCCTCCCCTTGTCCCTCTACGTCGATGGTGGTGAAGTTGGCGGCGCCACGGAGCGCAAGGCACCAAGCTGCCTCCCTTGCACCCAGCTCCTCTCTGGCCCCGGCTCTTGGACACCTGCGCCGCCGCCTTCTCTCGCCCGCCGAACCCACCCCCGGCGGCGGGCGGGGGAGGGGCTCCCCCCTGCAGGGGCTGCGTCGAGCAGGGCAACGACGGGGACCCTAGAAGAGTAGGGGTGAGTAGTGGCACCGCACTCGCTCGGTGCTAGGGTGCCTTTCCGGCCTCCGGGGCCCTGGGAGGCGAGGGAAGCGTTGCTTTCTCCTGCAAAAGCTTCTGACGCCTCTCCCACATCTGCGCGCGGCTCTCTATTCCCTTCGAGGTAGTTTTCCTTCTCAGAGCCATCACTTTTTGGCCTCAACCCTGGCGTCCAGGAATGCGGGGTGGGTGCCTAAGGCCTGGCTTTGCTTCTTAGATGCCATAGATGCTGATAATTCTACGTACAGTCACGCAGCCTGGTTCCTGATTCGTGGACAGACTCTTCCAGTGCCGTGATCGTCCTTTCCCCTTGCTCTGCTTCTGGCTCTTGCTCTCGCTCTCAGGAGGCTCAGCCTGACAGCGGGCTTTTCAGCAGCCCATTCCCCCAGCTGCTGTCTCTCCATGCCTCAAGGCTTGAACAGATAGCTGGAGTGGCCCCTTACTTTTCAGTGTTGTTGCTCCTTGTTTGCTGAGAGCTCCCGAAAGCCTTGTGCCTGGGTTCTGACTCCTGACATGTAAGTTAGGAAGATAGTACTTATATTAAATAATAAAAATAATACAACAAACACATACTCCACTTTTAAAGTACCATCAAACTTGAGAAGTAGGCAGAATGGCTGATTGATAGTAGGGGAAACTGGTTTTACAAACTACTCTTCATCCAGAATGGCATACTTCTTTTTTATTATAAATATCCCAAATAAAAGCGAGGATGGGTTGTGATTGATATATATATGTATCTGTTTTTCCTGAGGTAGCCTGCAGTTGAAGATAGTCACTTCCAGAAAACATTGGCATGAGGCACCTGAAGTGATATTCTGGACAAGGTGATTAGATGAGGTTCTAAACTTGTGAGGAGCTTTTTTAAAAATTAGCAACATTATCTTTGATGAATGAGGTTGTTTCCTTAAAAGTAAATGGTTGAAAAAAATTACAGTTCAATTGACACCTATCAAAACTGTACTGAATTTAGACTAGTAATTTTGATTGTAAGATAGTTCTGTGAGCAGACAATAAAAGATGGGTTCTTTTCCCTCCCTATTGGTTTTTAAGCCATTTCAGGTTTCTTTTATCTGATGCGACATCACGAGAAAGAAGTGTAATAATGGAAAACCTAAATTTACTTTTTTTGTAAACCTTTTTGAGCTAAAGTTTTTTTAAAAGATATATACATGCCATTTATGATTAGATACATTTATTGGGTGAATCTGTCAAGACTGGAAACTTTGATAGTTTGGGATAAAATGCTTTGCTTTGGCAGCTTTCATGTTGTTTGAGGTTCTTTGGGGTATGGTTTAAGGCACAATATAATTCTAGTACCACTGCAAAAGAATCTTGGACCTCAGAGAGTATTGTTTGTTTTGTGCATTAGCAAGTTGACATGCTTCTAGTCGTTAGATTCCAAAGGTAAATTTTTGTTGTTTTTTAGGAAAAGCTTTTGATGAATTCAAGTCTGAATTATTTGAAATAATAGTGTATCATATGAATACTTGCTCTTTATCTTCACATAGTTTGAGAACCTGGCAGTAATTTGAATCCAATCTAGTGTTCCATTGAAATGAGTATGGCTATGAAGGTGCCACATACTCTAAGAGCATTTACCTAGGGTGTCATAACCATGTTATAAAATAAAATTGATGGCTTATTTTGCAAATGCTATCAAGGCACTTGATCAGTGAACTCTAGAATGAAGTTTTTTTTTAAATTGACTTTAAACAAGTTTTTATTTTGTAGTTTCTAATGAATCCCTACTACTATACTAGGTTTTGTGAAGAATAGAACAGAAACATTAGTTTACTAGTTGGTTAAATTGCTTACTCATTGGTAAATTACCAATGGGTAAATTGCTTACCAGTTGGAAAAAGGAAAATATGTATTGGAACATAGAGTCATATTGAATAAGGACTAAAATAGTTAAGAACAAAGCAAGATTACCATAGGCTGGATTTGTCTGAGAAAGGTTTGTAGAGAAAGTCATATTTGATTTGGCTTTTAATAGAAGTAAAAGCTTTCTTAGAAGGAGGAAGAGTTAAGCATAACATGAGGTAAGGCACTTGATTTTCTAATCTTTATACACTATTCTCCTAGATTAACCTAAAGGAGGAGAGGACTATCAGTGGCAATTAACTTCTTTGTACTGGACATAATTTTCTATGATAAACTATATGCTAAATTAACATATTAAATATAAACAATCTCAAAGATTACGTGCTATAGAAGTCAGGCTTTCAAATAATCATTCCATATTCTGAGGCAAGTGAGACTGTAAGTTCACATGTTTCTGTAACCTGTACATTTTTGTACTGTTTACTAAGAGACAGTTATATTCTGAATGTTTCATACAACACTGGTCTGATTAGTACAACCTTAGATTATTAATATGCCCTAAATTAGGGAAATTTTATAAGCAACATTCACTTCGATTCATTAGCATATGATAAGTTAATTTTTAGTACCACATTTAGTACTACTATTGCTATCATTTTCTGAAAACAAAGGGAGGGGTATGTCAGAGTTCCACAAATTGATATCTGTCAAAGTTCTAATATCATGTTATTAAGAATGTATGTATTAATAATTGGCAACTAACATCAATATTTACACTGCAATTACAAACCTCTGCAAAGCTTATTTTGGTACATTTCTAACAACCTTCTGCTATATTGAAAATTAGTCAGATGACTAATTGTCTCCTAGGTTTTACTCAACTTTGTAAATTGATATTTACACATAGAAAAATAACAAGATATGGAGTTATTACATCCATAGAGAGGTATGTCTCCTAACAGAAATTCACATATTAGAATTCCAAATATACAGAATTCACAGATTTACTCTCAGGAACAATATACTCAAACTTGAAATTTTTGAGGCTTCTATATACTTTCTGTACCTTTTATTTGATACCTTTTGCTGCCAGCAGTAGTCTTTGATTAAAGTTAACTTTAATTCACAGTAGCTAATAGTTTCTAGGATCAACAAATATAATTGTTATTTTGAACATTCTCTACTTAGAACATCAGCTATTAGTTAAATAAACAAGTTATTAGAGAACAGAATGGCCTATACTGATACAGTCAGCAAATAGTTATTATTATTGTTGGAAATTAACCAGTTAACAGATAATAAAATATATGCAGAAGGCATTGTAGTAAATCATTTTTGCTAAGTAAGTATTGTACATTTCGGGTATTAACTGCTTATGCCAGTATCAAAGGGATTATATTTGGAAAGAGGAGGGAAACTGCCAAGAAAATTAAGATTACCTTGTATGTCAAATCATAAGTAGTACGGTGATTTAAGGCAGGTACATATGTTAGTTAAATTGCTAAACCTCAGTGGTGGCAGCATGTAAAAAACGGTAAAGAACTGTCATTTTCTGTTAAGTAAAATAGAGTCATTCTCAATATTTTTACCTAATGACTGATTCTGGAAGTAGAACAATATTGCACTGAGTACCAATGATTCATCTATAAGTTATAATTTTCATTAAATGTGTAGTTTAAAAATAATTATTATATTCTAAAGTATGATCTTTGTTGTATCAATGTACTAAAACTTTTCCCAGCTAAGTACACATCTCTCAATCGTATGATGGAAGTTTATGAGACAAATGACATTTTCCTGGCAATTCTTTTTAAGAGCAAGTTTTCCTGGTACATAATGGTTTTCACTAAGCAAAAGATACCAATAGCCAATTCAGTGTAGGAAAAAAAAAGTGGAGACTAGAATTCTTTCTTAAAGTGTGGTATCCACAAAGAAAATAAAACAAAAACCCTCGTATACAAGCTGTAAACAAATATCCACAGGAACTGTCTCATACACAGTTATTCTCTCAATATCATATCTTATGAATTGTTAATTCCCTTTAGACTATTGGTATTCAAAGTTCCCTTGTAATCTGACTCATTCTTATTTTCCTATTGACAAGTGCACCACTGGGATTTGATAGGGAGATTAACTTTGTTATTAATAGTATTCTACTGTAAGAAGTTTTTTTGTAACAGTTTTTAAAATGCAATAAATATTAACGGAAACCTGATATTGAATTTTAACATGATTAATAATGAGAAAAATGGATATATTTAAAAGAAATATGCACTTAAAGCCATTGTACAGTAAGTGTTAGTATCTCTATAACCTTTCACAGCCTTGAATTACATAGCTCCTCATTATGGTCACTTTCTATACCTCGCTTCTAATTTTCTTAACTACTGTGGTTTGTTCTCACTGTCACTCTTGAGCTACTAACTTTGGTCCTTAAATGGGTTTCACAAAAGATATCTATCTTTTTATAAAGTTATTTAGGAAATATTTTCTGTGATTGTCTAAAAAACCAAACCCATAATGGAAAAACTGCATTTAAAACTGGGTGATTTGACTGGAAGTAGTATTGATAGGAAGAATTCTCCAGGTTCTTTTAAAATACTGTGGCTAAGTCAGATAATTTTTGAATCACTAGGTTTCTATTTCAA